CTCCTGGCTTTTTCACTGCTGGGGCCCCAGTATGTACCATGATGTGTCTTGTTTTTTGATGACATATTTGAGTGAAGAATAATTCTAGAGTATCAGAACAACGCCATGCCTATCAGGAAAAATATGACAGAATCTTTTCATACATGTTGCCATTTTTGGTCCTTTTTTCAGTGGCTTCTTCCGTTAAACAAGCAAAATTTGACCTTTTTTTCTTTGGGAGCAGGGGTGGGACATAGGGGAGGGGGTCACAGATCCCATTTAGAAACCATGATAAATCATAAAAAATGCAAAGATACAAATACTCCCAAATTTTGTTACATAATTTCAGTGGTTTCATGGATTTCCCTTAAGCTCTTCCAGTAGACCTGCATCACTCCAAGCTTCCACTCTGCAGGATTGTTTTTCTGACTGACCTGTACATACTCTGTTCTAACAGTTTTTGGTATCTTTGCTTTGTCACTTTTTCTCTTGTTCCTGAGACTGGGCTTTTATATTTTATTACAAATAATTTTAAACATAGAGAAAAGTTGAAAAAAATGTGTGCTTTTGGACACTAGAATACCAACCACTCATATTTTATAATTAACCTTTTACTATTTTACCTTTAATATGCAATTCTCCATCTATTCATCCATCACTCTTTTTTATTTAATGCATTTCAGAGTAAGTTGCCAGTATCAGTACATTTTCTCCCATATAATTCAGCTTGCCTAGTTCTAACTAAAGTTCAGTTTTTGCTTACAGGATTCTTTTGAGGTAGAAATTTACAAACAATGAAATGCATTAATCTTAGGTGTAACATTTGATGAGTTCTGATAAATGTAGAGATCCATGTAACTCAAACTCCTGTCAACATATAGAGCATTACTGTCTGTCCAGACAGAAAATCTGCTCCTGATAAATCCCCATTATTTTTTGTTTTTCAGTGATTATAACTTACTCCTGTTTAATTGTCATTTGAGACTCTCAGTTTGTGCTGTTTGATTGGCATTCTCTCTATCATTAATTGAGGTCTAATGACAGAGTATCAGCCAGGCAGATATTCTATGGTTAGGATGGACCAAACCATAAAATCAAGAAAATCCAGTAGGAGTCAGTAACATTGTCTTCACCCCTGGTGGTCAAGTTGGTGGTGTTCTTTGATAAGTGTTTGTGGGGAGAAAGTTGAAGGAGTAATGATTGGGAGTAAGTGAGGGGGGCGGGGGGGGGTATTTGTGCCCTGTTTTGTAAGATGTCCTATTGGTAGCAACTTATTTCAGTTGACAACTTCCCTTTTTAATTTAGGAGTTTTACCACCACAGTTTATTCATACTCTCAGAAGCCAAATAAGGAAATGAGGATTGCACTATTTCATGAGGGAGAGTAATAGTGATATATCTTAGAGCATGGTGTGGGGAGGGGGTTTTGGGGGAGAGGCACACCAATTTAGGGCCTTATTTCATCAGATGTTAACATTCATGCAGTCATGGACCCCCTGAGGGGTGGAAGAGATGGGGTGTTCCATGGTGAGAAGAAATCTAAAAACAAACAATCTCTGTAGAAGTCCTGTCAGATGTAGGTATAGAGATTGTAGCATATTGATGTCTCTGTCTGATGTAATAAAAATTAGTTACTTCAGAGGAGATTAATCTTTTCATAAACATTTTATGGATTTGAAATTCTAGCAGATTCTTAAGTGCTCTGATACTATAGTTTGCATGTACTAAGAACAAGAAATATAAAAGTAGTGTTAGTAATACCTACATAATAGAACCATCAGTGCCAAAATTTTCCTGTACTTAAGTCATAATGTTATTGCAGATGTTCTAGCTGATTTTCATAATAGCTATTATCATTATCTAGAAATATAATTTACTAACAACTTGTCAGAAGCCTATTTTAGTAAATTTGTTGCTTTTTATTTTATGGTGTTATGTTTTTAAGCATTTTTGTATTCATCAGCAATAATATTTTTGTTGAATGGTTTTTTGTGTGTATATTTATTACCATAAAGTAACAGTTGTAATTGATGTACATCTTGAAGCTTCTGATAATTCTTGTGTCCTAGATCAATCAGTCCTGTTCTAACTAGTCCTGTGGTACAAAATTAAAAAAAACCCCACAATCGACTAGGAAGCTCAAAGTCTGGGATTTTGCAAATTAAGTGTCTATGCAGTTGGTACAATTTCTTTAGGTGGCATGGAATCAATATATAATAGTGGTATTTGAGGTTTATGTAACACATATTTTATATGTTTACATTTATTATTAAACTCTCCCAGCACCCTATGTGATAGGTACTATTATTATCCTCAAGCCAAGAGGTTAAGTAACTTGCTCCTAAATGGTAAAGCTTGAATTCAAATCTATTTTCTAAACGACACCATTTTCCTAACTTCTACCATTCTGACTACTTGTCTAATGGAGGCTTCCTTAGATTAGTTTATTAAGTATCACCACTGGTATTACTGGCTTTAATTTAAGGAAAATAATCCAAATTCTTCTCAAAGGAGTTATTTTTGTCACTCATTGAAGTAGGCTATGGTATGATCTGTAACTTCCTATCTCAGTTCACTCAGCATTCGCTTGCGTAGGTAAGCTGTGGCTTTGTACTTTTAATATCTTGCTCTAGTGGTTTTAGGTCACAGTTTTCTCAACCTTCCTAATGCCGAGACCCTTTAATACAGTTCCTCATGTTGTGGTGACCCCCAACCATAAAATTATTTTCGTTGCTACTTCATAACTGTAATTTTGCTACTGTTATGAATCGTAATGTAAATATCTGATATGCAGGATATATTTTCATTGTTTGCGACCCACAGGTTGAGAACCGCTGTAGGACATTAGCTAGGTGCTGATCAGTGTATCTCTGTTAAAGTCCTCTTATTCCTTCTCACCTTTGGTGCCAGCTTAGTTTTCATAGGGTGTTTTCCCATGTTCATCTAGGAAAGTACTGTAATGGCAGGAAGAATGTTGAGTGGCCATGTATTGCAGCCATCTTGCTTCCCAGCTAAACATTTCTCTAGCCTAAAAGTTTAAGTTTGCACTTGGAAATTAGATGTATTTTTAAAATGTGCTTTATTTTTTTAGCTGGAAGATAGCTTTATTTATCTTACATGCCCATTTATCACATTATTATGTAGTTCCATTACCAGGGTAACATAGTTTTAGTAATAGAATAAATTTTAGAAGTTATGTCTAACTTCCATCTTATTTACACTTAATCCCCTTTAGCATTGGAGGGGGGCGGGTGTCGTTAGTTAATAAGTCTAATGACTTTATTTCTGGACATTGTTTTTGGTGCCTCTCATTAGCCATTGAGCAGTAAATGCACTCAGTTTTGGAAAGTGTATTTATTGCCAGACAGAGTTAAATTGTTAATATAAAGCAGCATTTACTTAATCATCTGTTGTTGTTTTTTTATATTCTCACACAGAAGAAAGAATCTTCTAAATCCAGTGTCAAGAAAAAAGTGACCAAAGTCGCAGAAGCGAAAAAAGTAATGAAGAGAAATTTTAAAGTGAATAAGAAAATAACGTTTACTGATGAAGGGGAGGTAAGATTCTTAAATGCTCCATTTCTGAGGTACAGCAGGTCCTCAAATGTGTCCTTTTATTATAATGTTGATGAGATGATGTAGCAGCTTAACTCTTGTTCATAAGCCAATTGGTTTCATTATCGGTCCATTTACTTGACATCCCAGAAACTAGTGAGGATGTTAAATGAGGACTGTATGTTCCAACTGTTAAAAAGAGTAACTGCCCTGCTAACTACCACTCACTAATGAGAAAAAAAGGTTTCTCTAAAATAGGATAGGTAGTTCCCTTCACTGTTACCAAAGGAATTCCATCAACTCTACACCTGGAAGCAAGAACATAACTGCCCTGCTAACTACCACTCACTAATGAGAAAAAAGGGTTTCTCTAAAATAGGATAGGCAGTTCCTTCACTGTTACCAAAGGAATTCCATCAACTATACACCTGGAAGCAAGAACATCAACTATACACCTGGAAGCAGTTTATTGACAATAGACTGAGATACTTCTTGGTGATAACAACAGAGTTAGTTTTGAGCTTCCTAAATTCTGCTTGTATAGATTAGATTTTCTTGTCATGGTGTCCATCAACATGTTCTGTGGGGACAAGCACAAGTAGTAACACAGCTACTTGCCACAACTTTGTTTGCTGGACTCTAAAAGAAACTCTGCTGTGCAGTTCCTCAGTTTTAGATGTTGTGTTGGCATGTTTCTTACTTGCTGGCCTGCTAATGGGAAGGATTTCTCTGCTTTAAAATAATCTCAGACACATGGGTGCCTGGCTTTCCTCTCATCATTACCTTGGTCTGAGTGTAATATATACCCATAGCTTAGGGAAGGGTTATCACTCACAGATTGCTCATGAAGGGTCACTCTATTACAAATGAATACTATCTTTGTTGCTAAAGAAGAAGGGTATCTGGAAAGTCGAGTGACTACCTAAGGAGTAATGGCTAGAAGTTCGTAGTGATTGCAGGCTCTTCTGAATATTATTTCTTGGTTTCACTCACCAGCCTACAGGTTTCCTTGTTCATCCTAACACAGCACACAGCACTCCACACTTACATAATCTCATTTTTCTTGTCTTGTCTTTTTGTTCTTTTTCCCATAGCACTTACTGTGTAATTCATTCTGTATTTATTTGGTGGTTGTTCGTTTCTTCCACTGTGGAAGGTATTTGTTGACTTTTCTCACTACTCTGTCCTCAGCACTTAGAACAGTGTTTAACATATAGTAAGCCCTCAAAAAAGTTTGTTGGATGAATGAACCATTGTTTGATACCCCAATAAAATAACAGTTTTTTATACCAACTGTAATATATCACATCAGCTATTTCATCATTATTAATATAAGTGATGCCTAAGCAGTCTATGTCGAGTAACATATATTTTCTTTTAATTTTGAAGTTAAGAAAGATTTGGGTGTTTGGGGTGGGGGGAGGAAATTTTATTTCAGAAGCCTGGGTTTGCACTAATAATATGGAGTGAAATGGTGTATGAATCATATGAAAACTAACAAAATGAAGTGCAGTTCAAAGTTGTTGGTAGTTGCAGAGGAAGCCTGAATAATTGATAAGTAATGAAATCTTATCATTATGAAATTACTAAAAAGAGGTCAACACCCGAGAAGCAGGCCAAGCCATACTGTAGTTGTATGACATCAGATGCTTAGGGTAAACAGGATTAGTGCTGCTAGCATAAAGAGGTTCCTTACTGTGTTAATAAGTAACTGCACAGATTATACCAATTGGCTCTAAGGTGGATGTAAATCTTTAACTATAAAATTTCATTGTAAACATTGATAGGAGCTCTGTGTAGCTGTGAACCACATTGAAAATTCTGATCTAAAACTGAAAGAAATGCTGCTATTGGTGCAAACCACAGAGGGATGGACTTTTTTCACTCTGACAAAAAAAAGGGGAAGAGCCGTGGATGGCATTCTTACTGCCATAGCTGATTTCTCTTCACTGCTTCTTCATTCAGTGTTAGTAACTGCTAGCACGGCTGCTCATGCAGTGCATTTGTGACCTCATTTGTTGCCAAAGACTGAGACTGTAGGAATCTCATCTTGAAGAATGACTGGTGGCGATAAGAGGGAGAGGAGACGTTAATACCTGTGACCTGTGTGCCTACAACTTCCACTTGCCTGCCAGTTAATTAGCAGTCTTTAAAAAACAATGGCAGCTATTTAAATCCTCCGGTAACAATGTAGTAGGTAAAATAAAAGAATCATTCTTTGTCTAAATTGTCTAGAATTTTACAGTGTTAGGCCTGGAATATTGTTGAGTCAAACCTTATTTTTCAGACAAGGACACAGATGCCCAGAGATTAAGTGATTTATTCAGGATTGTACAGTGGGTTAAGTGAGAAAGGCAGGATATTAAGCCAGGCCTCCCAACTCCCAGATCAGTGCTCTGACTTTTATGTCACCTTGTTCCTAGCCATACACTGTATGTGTAAAGTCATGCAGATCTGAGCAGCCTGTGAAACCAGACTAATTTTCTCCTTTTCACTTAGTTATTTCAGTCTCTATGTGTGGTACCAGCTGATATGTGATCCATTGATCAATTTTGAGCAACTAAAGTGTGCCAGATACTGTGTTGGGCTCTGAGAATACATGAACAAGACATATAACTGTCCTCAAGGAGATAAATTCTAGTGAGAAAACCAGGAAAATAAAGCAACCCAGTACAGTGAGAGAGGTGTTGGAGGGGCCCTGGTGCTGGTGGGAGGGGGCTCTCAGGCAGCCTGGCTGTGGCCCATGCACATTCAGAGCCAAGTCAGTGGACTAATGCAGCAGTTGCCAACCGTTGGTCCGCGAGGTCCGAAAGGTTGGCGACCGCTGGACTAGAGCATACTGAGGACACTGCTTGAAATGGCTTGAGGTGACTACTACTCCTCTTCATTAATTTATGAAATTTTCCTTCAGTCTTGCCCTCATTGGGTTATGGTGGCATTGTTTTCTCCCAATTGGGACAGTCTTCTGTGGCTTGCTCACTTTAATGATGAAGTTTGTTAGAAAGTTTAAAACATATAGGTAGTAAGGCAGAGAGTGTGCATATGCACTGGTTCAAAATCCTTATAAAAGGGAAATGGTTTTTTGCTGACGCGCCCTGTCCCCTGACCCCTACTGAACCTTTTCCTGTCTGCAGTTGGTTCAGCAGTGGCCACAAGTGCAGAAGTCTGTCTCGAAGGATACTGAGGAAGAGGACGACACTGGTGGTATCAATTTGGATAAAGCAAAGGAAAGGCTTCAAGAAGAGGACAAATTTGACAAAGAAGAATATAGAAAGAAAATTAAGGCAAAGCATCGGGTAAGCTTTTTTCATCATGAATTAACACTGAGAGAAATTTAATATGTCCCTATACATATCTAAATATTCATTACATATTCATTAATAATCATATCACTGTATTGTTTTCTCTAACTTCTTTTTTGGTGGCTATTTTGTCCTTTTATCTATTTCTTCTTTCGATTGGTAGAGGCTCTGTATACTGACTGGTTTCTGGAAGTGTCACCAGATATGCTTTTTTTAAAATTAAAGTTTTAATTTTGGGATAATTGCAGTTGCATATGTAGTCACTAGAAGTACTGCAGAGAGATCCCATGGGCTCCATTGCTATAGTTTGTCACTTCAGGAATGTTGCATAAGTGAAACTAGGTAGTATGCACCCTTTTGGGATTGGCTTTTTTCACTCAGGTAATTCTCTGTCAATTCATCCAAGTCACTGTGGAAATTAGTACTTCATTCTTTCTATTACTGAGTAGAGTTCCATGTTATGGATGTACCACAGTGTGTTTCACCAGTCACCCACTTGAGCAACATTAGTGTTGTGTTAAGCTTCAACTTAATGGTTACATTTCCCCGCCCCCCATTGCAATGACTTGGTAATGCATATAAAATTAATTAGTGTTGTGTTAAGCTTCAACTTAATGGTTACATTTTCCCCCCCATTGCAATGACTTGATAATGCATATAAAATTACACTTATTATATTTAAAAAAAGGAAACCTTGTAAGAGGGAGTGCTTCTATATAAGCACATGCCTCGTTGACTTTAAACTTGGCAGTTTTTTCTTATCTTTGAAATGGGTTATTCCATTCTGATTACTCATGATGTTGCTGTCCTTTCACACCACTTAATTTCCATTTTGCTACACAAATGAGTCAATTAATGAAATAAATAGAAATTTACATTTTTAAAGAAGTTTTTGCAGCATACTCCTGAGATAGTGCATCATGTCAGGGGAATACAACATCATAACCAAGAACCACTGCTATAATATTAAGTTTTGTATTAAAGAACAGTCAAGCCTTTTGATGAGGCCTTTATTAACTGTATCTTGAGCGGGGTTCTTATACTTTTTGACTCCTATTTGACCTTGTAACCATTTAATTGCCCCGGAGAAATTTGTTTTAAAAAAGAGCAGCAGTTCTCATTTCCTTCATGTTTGATGCAGCTTCACAGTAGCATTTGATGAATAGGAAAAAGTAGATATTGGAGTTAGCTTCAGGGATAGAAATGAACTGTGAGAAAAACATTTCAGAAATAACACTAATGAACCTGAAATGTACTGGTTGCCGTTGCTGGATATTTATGTTACTGAGAGAACTAAACATTTCCTGCATTGCTGCTTATAGGATAGTACTTTACATGGAAATTTGGCATTAATATTTGTTACTAAAATTTTTAATATTACTGAGAGTGTCAGTATGTTATGTTTCATCTCATGGTCTACTTTGAGCATTTGTCTAGGGGAAGATTGGGCATAAGAACATTTTATACTTTATTTTTAAATTGTAGCTAGCAGTAAAAGAAATATGAAGGCCCCTTTTTTTAAAAAACAAATCAAAGGTTATTTTATATAAAATATGTATATTTTACACAAAGTGATTATGGCATGCCTTCCATATTGGAGGTTGAAAATATGTCGCCTGAAAAAAGTACAAGGGAATAACTATAAAGTAGTCTTCTCTATATTCAATTTTTAAATTTTTTCAAATTTTTATTTTTTATTGATTTTAGAGAGAGAAAGGGAGAGTGGATGAGAGGGAGGGAGGGGTGAAGAGAGAGATAGAGAGAGTGTGTGTCTAACCTCAATTTGTTGTTTATGCATTCATTGGTTGATTCTTCTGTGTGTCTTGATCAGAGATTAAACCCACAACCTTGGAGTATCAGGATGACGCTCTAACCAATGGAGCTACCTGGCCAGGGCCTCTATATTCAATTTTAATGTAAATGCTTCTTGACACAAATATGATTAATTTCTTGGTATTATTTAATCAGTAAAGTTATTTACCCATATGTAAGTATTTGCATATTGGTTACTAACTTTTACTTCAAAAACTAAATATATTAATAATACCACACAGATTAATTTTTAATTATTATCTTAATTTCTCTAACTGAACACGATATTGGTTTTGAATTTGTAATTTTTTCCTAATTAAGTATATTACTAAAATGACAATTCTTAGTTCTTCTAGGATAAAATTTTACCTTGGGCAAATGTAATTATATTTCCCTTAAAGCTATCACTTCTAATTTATTTTTTTGAACGAATATGGAGAAGAATTGTATGTCCCTAAAGAATACTTGAAATACTAACTTTAGAGCCTAGGAATAAGCTTTACTTCATGATGACAGAAAAGGTAAAGAAACTTTTGACACAAAATTGTGAATAAGGAATGTGCCTGAACTAATTGTACATGTGAAAAGAAAGCTGTGTGAAAATCTATAATATAATTCTATATTTGAAACATACTACATTTTTAAAAATGTGTCAATTTTATTTTTATTTATTTTCCTATTTATTGTGCCAATTTTAGAAGTTTTCATAAACTTAGAAGTATTCCTTCAGTATTTTGACTAGATGTTCAAAATATTTCATGATTATCTTTTTTGGTTTAAAAGGATAAGATATTTAATATGTAAGTGAATTTAGTGTTAGTAATTCTGTTTGAAAGTAGTTGTTTGCTCCTGCTGTTCAAAATTAGCCTCTCACCATAGTTTTGAATGAGTACTTGGTCTTTCTAATGTAGGATTCAGCTACCCTTTTTTTTCCTACCTCTTTTCCTCCATGCTATTACGTCTGTTCTTGACTCATATTTTCATCTACCAAATTCTGAAAGCCCTGTAATTTGTATTGTGACTCCAGTAAATATCTTTCTCCTAAAGATTTAGAAAGTGAGCAGTACGAATTTTTAACTAGTTTATAGCAAACAAAAACAAAAACCCAAAACAACAACACAAAAATTACAGCATCACTGGGAGTAGAAGCTTATCTGCCTGTTTGTTGAAACACACAGCTATACACCTGGTGGACTTCAGGGTGCCCTTTTGCAACTGCTTTGTGTTAGTTAGCAGTTTTATTTCATTATAGCCATTAAGCATTGTTTTCTTCTGAGACCATTTGGTTTTTAGCTTCCCCTGGCAATTCAGAAGTAACTGTACTCCACTAGGCCTATTAGTATTTTCCCTGTTGAACTTCTTGAAACTGTTCATCAGAAGTAAAATTATAGCACAATTTTGCATATAAAGTCATTAGTAAATTATAAAGGCAAAAACACACTGCTTTTGCGTGAAAACATTGTGTTTTTGGTAATTAGAACTGTGAAAGATGGGTCATGGATCACATTACTGATAGGATTTTAATTTAATGGAGTGAAAGTCTGCTCTGTGGTGTATGTCATCATTCTTAGTTATGAAAGATTACTTGTGTTTAGGATGATAATATCTGCTATACTAGCTGAGAGTAGAGAGAAGCAATTCATTACGAAGTTTTCTTTAATTTCCTTGAAATTTACTTTGAGTACTCAATCCACTTTGGATTGTGTATTTTGGTAACACAGCCATGCCTCAAGATGTGACTGGACTGTTCCCAGAGAGGGCATAGCATTGCTTTGGATTCCATTTATCAGTAGCACGAATACTAGAACGTTAGCAAAGACGTAAAGGGACTTTTTAAAAAATCTATATTGTTGACACAGAATTTAGTTGGCATGTAATCTAGGTATCTTAAACATAATCTATATGGTAGTCAAGAAGGAGGCGAGCAGTAATCAGGCATCTTAGGAATAGTAATAACAAGAACATTAACAGCCGTAGCTGGTTTGGCTCAGTGGATAGAGCGTCGGCCTGCCGACTGAAGGGTCCCACGTTCGATTCTGGTCAAGGGCATGTACCTTGGTTGCGGGCACATCCCCAGTTGGGGGTGTGCAGGAGGCAGCTGATCGATATTTCTCTGTCGTCTATGTTTCTAACTCTCTCTCCCTCTCCTTTCCTCTCTGTAAAAAATCAATAAAATATATTTTAAAAAAAAGAACATTAACAATAACAAGAGGTAGCAGTTAGTTACTTGGGCCCTGCACTAAATGCTGTGTGTGTGTGTGTGTGTGTGTGTGTGTGTGTGGTCTTAGGCGACCCCTGTGAAAGGGTCGTTCGACCGCCAAAGGGGTCGTGACCCACAGGTTGAGAACCGCTGCAACCACTGACAAGTACCAGCCAGGGCTACAGACCTTTTATTTTATTTTATTTTTTTTTTAACAGCACATGGTGTTTGAGAGGTGGCAGTGGTTGTTAAATTGATGGTTGATAACTGAGACTGGGGTTAATGAGCAGGAGTAGAGTTTGGTACTAATGGAATTAAGGGGTCTGACAAGATGTGGTCATAGACTACAAAGACTGAGTTTGTTTTGCCCATTTCTATATTCTCAGAGCCTGCCATGGGATGGAGCCTGGTGCATAGTTGCTCAGCAAATATTTGAAAGAATTGATTAGTGAATCAGTGTTTCCATGTAAATTTTTCTACTTGTCTTTGTATCCATATTATAGTTGTTAACAGATTTGTATACGGAAGACCAATTTTTTTTTGATGTTTAAATGAATAGGTAACAAATCAAAGAACCTTGTTGTGTTCCAAATTCCTGGGAGGGTTTTAGATTTATGAGGATTTTTTAAAAATGTATTTTATTGATGTTTTACAGAGAGGAAGGGAGAGGGAGAAAGAGTTAGAAACATAGATGACAGAGAAACATCAGTCAGCTGCCTCCTGCAC